GACAGGAGCCTACCACAGAAAGCATCTGTAAGACTCTACACAATAGGGTGTCAAAGCAAATGCTAAGACTCATAGCAAAATTTTGTGCAGAGTTTAAGGAATTTTATGAAAAATGGCAAAGATAGAAAGACCTGGAAGGGACAGGAGCTCCAAAAAGAGAGCAACAGAACCAAAATATCTGGGCACAGGGGTCTTTTTCTGAGACTGATTCTCCAACCAAGGACCATTCATGGATATAACATAGAACCTCTGCTCAGCTGTATCCAATGGCAGCTCAGTATACTAGGGAGGAGAACAGGGACTGTCTCTGACATTAATTCAATGGCTAGGTTCTTTGAAAGCCTCCTCTGATGGGGGAGCAGCCTTGCCAGGCCACAGAGGAGTTCAATGCAGCCAGTTTTGATGAGACCTGATAAGCCATGTTTAGATGGAAGGGAAGGAGGACCTTCCCTATCCATGGTCTTGGAGAAGGGCATAGGAGATGAGGGAGGTTGGGATTGAGAGGGGATGAGTGAGGGGGCTACAGCTGGGACACAAAGTAAATGAACTGTAATTAGTATAAAAATAAAAATTTAATTAAGAAATGATTTCAAAATAGGTGGATATGGAGATGAATATATATATTTGAAATTAAGCAGAGCTTGAAACAAATTGCCCAAAATATGGCTCATGTGCTCATCATAAGTCTGACATTGTATGAGAATGAAATTTAACACTCACATTAAACTTATGACAAAGTCTAAAAAACAAAAAATTTAAAATTTAAAAATAAAATTTAAAAAGTTTTCATATAAATGAGACAGAATATTTAATGATGTTTGTAGTTTTAAGATTGCTCTTTGTTAGATTAGAATAAATTTAAAATACATTGTTTAAGGAAGTCTGTATTTTGTCAAAGGATAGATATGAGTTCATTGTATAACTCTAAATCCATTGTCTTTATCGTACTTCAGAAATCACTGAAAATTTTCAATGATAATATATTGTCATTAAAAAAAAGGACACACAATTGGGTGAGAGGGACCAGTTGTGTGAATCTTAGAAAAGTTGGGGAATGGGGTTTAAATATGCATAAAACATGTATGAAATTCTCAAAGATCTAAAAATATTTTATGGTACTTGCAAAACCTGCAATGCATATCATAGAGTAAACATAAGATTCAAATGGTCACATTGGGAAAAATAGCAGCAAAGTGACTAATATTATTCATGGAAAAAAATAAATTGGCTAACTGAATAAATTTTTATCACACAGAAAAGCAATATATGCACAGGCTAATAATGTCTAAATGAAAGAGTTACTTATATACTACAATATTTTTTTGTTCAATACAGAACAGATACAAATGCAAATCAGTTTTCACAATGTGAAAAGACTATGCAGAATCAATTAAAGAAACTTTTAAAGAAAGTGTATTATATAGGTAATAAACTGGAATATTAAATACATGGAAATATAAATGCTGCTGCAAATATAAAATTGTTATTTGGCAATGAAAAATTTTTTATTCTTTTATAAGTAATATCAAATTTCTTCGTGCAAATACCAATCCTTTTTTGTTAGTTTTAATATTTCCTAAGAACTGCATATATTGTCGAAAGAAATAACATTTCAAAGTTTATATATATATAAATTTTTCAAAATTTCTGTAATGAATTTTATTCCCATAAAACTGTGAAGGTAATGTATACACCATGAGTTTCAATAAAGTATAAAGTAAAAGAAAAACTAGAAAAAAATCTTATGGCCATTTTTTAAATAAGTGCCTTCTTGGTTATGAATTATACTATCAGTATTTCAATCTTTAAATTATTTACTTTCTTAGTGTGTGTGTGTGTGTGTGTGTGTGTGTGTGTGTGTGTGAGTGTGTGCATGTGCATGTTTATGTGTGCATGCTACAGCACAAGTTGTATGTAGAGGTTAGAGAAAAAAACTTGTGAAAGTTCTTTTTTCCCCTTACAACATGTGTATCGTAGGGCGCAAACTCATGTTAACAGGCTTGCTGGAGAATGCTTTTATTCACTGCCCACCTCAATGGCCTATATTTTAACTTTTTAATGGCCGTTTCTACTCCCTCTACTCTGGCCTAGTGCTTTACTCCTTGTAATACATTATAAAAAAATAGAAATGGAAGACCCAAAGTCAGAGATAAAAAGTTCACCGAATTCACTGGATTCCACTTAATTTTTTTTCTAAATTTTATTTTCTCAATTCAACAACAACAAAACAATAATAATAACAATAACTCATTCATGGAGTTGTATCAAATTAGACATATCTATGAGAATTGAGTTTCTGATCTGGCTTATCTTTGTTCTCTCTTGAAAAGGCCTAACTCTAGTAAACAGAATACTTTTATTTTTTGTTTTATTTCCTTTTTTAATTAAAATTTTATTTTTTACATTAATTACATTTTATTAACTCTGTATCCCAGCTGTACCCCTCTCCCTCATTCCCTCCTAGTCCCACCCTCCATCCCTCATCTCCTCCTATGCCTCTACCCAAGTACACTGATAGGGGAGGTCCTCCTCCCCTTCCCTCTGACCCTGGTCTATCAGGTCTCATCAGGACTGGCAGCAATGTCCTCCTCTGTGGCCTGGCAAGGCTGCTCACCCCCTCAGGGGAAGGTGATCAAAGAGCAAGCCACTGAATTAATGTCAGGGACAGTCCCTGTTTTTGATTTTTTGAGACAAGGTTTCTCTGTGTAGCTTTGGATATCCTGCATTAGCTTTGTAGACAGGTTAGCCTTGAACTCATAGAGATTCACATGCTGCTGACTCCCCAAGTGCTGAAATTATAAGCATGTACCACCGTGCCCAACTACCTTCTTCTCTTACAAATATAATTCTCATCTTCCTTACCTTATATGTTTGTGTGTGTCCACGTGCCATATGTGTAGGTCTGTGTGTGAGCAAATGTGTGACTGTATACATATATGTATGTGTACGTGGACATCAGATTTCCACATTAGGCATTTTTTTTTCTTCAGTCACTCTCCATATTATTCTATGAGACAAGGTCTTTAATTGAAGTGTGTGTTCATATATTTGATTAGCCTGACTTGTCACCAATGTCCTGGATAATGACTGTTTCTACCTCCCCAGTTTCAGGATCACAGGTGTATGCTGCTACACTAGGCTTTTATATGGGTGCTGGAATTTCAATTCAGTTTCTGCTTCTTGAATAGGGAACACATTATTGACTGAGCCATTTTTACAACCCATATTTTTTCCATTTTGAACTTTGGTATTCTCCTCATTTCTTAGTTTATTGGCAGTGATTAGAGATGCATGAAAACATTTGCTTAATAAACTACATCATTGTTTAAAAAGAAGATGCTGATACAAATTATTAAAACAAATACAAAGAGATAATCACCCAATTGTGGTGAGATGTTAATAGTTATTATTGACTTCAACTAACAGATTTTTGTTAAGATGATATTTATTATATTGCCATAAAATTGACTATTATCATTTAAAAACTTTATTATTCTAGAAATATTCATCATTCTTGAGAGATGGTGTTTTTATTTTTTAATTCAATTTCTTATAATTTATTCACTCTACATCCAGATTGTAATCCCCTCCCTTGTCTCCCCCTACTGCCACACTTCCTCCCACTTAATTTCTCAGAAGAGGAGAGCTGTCTTCCCCTACCATCTGACCCCACCCTATCAAGCCTCATTAGGACTGTTTGCAACCTCTTCTTCTGTGGCATGGTGATGGTGCCCTTACCAGGGGGAAGTGATCAAAGACGGGAAACAGAGTCCATATGAGAGACAGCCCCTGCTACCCTTAATAGGTAACCCGCATGGAGGATTGAGTTGCCTATTGTCTACATCTGAGCAAGGGGTCAAGGTCCTCCTCATGCATGGTCCTTGATTGGTGCATCAGTATCTGCAGGCCCCCATGGGCCCAGATTTGTTGGCTCTGTTATTCTTCTTGAGGAGTTCCTCTTCGCTTTGGGCCCTTCTATATCCCCACTCCTTCCTAAGATTCCCTGTACCCTGGCCAAAGTTTAGCTGTGAGGCTTAGCATCTACCTCAATAGTCTACTGTGTCTTTCAGTGGTAGTTTATGGTAAGCTTCCATCCTGTTCTTTCTCTTCAACTGTTTCCAGAGTTTCTTCTATTTGCCCTTCTGAATAAGAATTAAGCATCCTTTCTAGCGTTCTCCTTGTTATTTACCTTTAGGTCTGTGGATTGTGGTATGGTTATCCTCTATTGCTATCTGCTTATATGTGAGTATATTCCATGAGGGTCTTTCTGTTTCTTGGCTACCTTACTCAAGATGATCTTTTCTAGTTCCATCTATTTGCCTGCAAATTTCATGATTTCCCTGTTGTTTTTTTTTAACAGCTGAGTAGTATTCCATTGTGTAAATGTACCACAATTTCCATATTCATTCTTCATTTGAGGGACATCTAGGTTGTTTCCAGATTCTATCTATTATGAATAAAGCTGCTTTAAACATATTTGAGCAAATGTCCTTCCTGTCCTTCCTTTTGAATATATGCCCAGGAATGGTATAGCTGGGTCATGAGGTAGCACTATTCCCAGTTGTTTGAGAAAGTATCAGATTGATTTCCAAAGTGCTTGTACATGTTGTTTGTGGAAAATGAACCTCTGACCTCACATGGGGTAAGCATGCACATAATTATGTTAATGGCCTAAATTTTAGACTTTTACAAATATTTATTATTTTTTAAGTTTCTTTCTATTGTTAGTATATTGGTAGGATTGAGATATGGAAGAATTCTCTTTGTACACTGAAATAAACTTGCAAATAAACAATTGTTGAAATCATTGTTTTCATGATTTCATGAATCAGTATAATACTTTAAAGTCTTCTAAAAATTTCTTTGACTAATACACCCCTATTTTAACTGGTATCATTCAGACCAATGACATTTTTAAAATCAGAATAAATCTATATACAAAACATCTTTTAAATGCATTCATACACAGAATGACAGAATGTAAGAAAATAATCCTGTACCGTGTGTATCCTTCAGAGAGTTAAAATGGAAGGCATCATTTTCATAGAGGTAGCTATCCCAGCCATGGTCAATGACAAGATTCTTGAGTTTTTCTTTATCTATTTCAGAAACAAAGAAATAGTACACTCCAGTGTCATACTCAATAAGATAAAATTCTATGAAAATTAAATCCTTTTCAAAGCTAGATGAATATGTTTCAAAATATGTTTTGACATTAAGTGTTATATCTGAAGAACACACTCAACATTATAATTAGTTTTCTATATAGCATTAAAATATTTTAAAATCCATTCACAAATGAGTGATGTTTTAATTTTAAGTACCCAAATATGAGACATGAACATCTATTCATCTAAAATGCATTATAGCACTTAATGTATACAGTTGTGTGTATAATTTATGCAACATTAATTATAAAATTAAACCCAGTACAAAAAAAGCATATATTAATCATCTATAACATAGGATAAGTGTGTTTATTGGTAAAACTTCAATATATACATATTTGGAAGAGAATGCTGAAAAATATTTAAACACAGAAGTAAATGAATCAAAATTATTTGGAGTTCATTATGTAAATATTAGTGTTTTAAAGGTGCGGTCTTATTGCAAATTGCTGGAAAAGCTTATGACAAGGCCTTTACTAGAACTAATGAATCAGAATAACTTGAGTGTATAAAATAAAAAGTTATACTAAGGTATCTAAACAATTAACTAAAGACAGTTAAAATGATTGTAAGAAGCAGAACCTTAGGTTATTCATCTGAAAATAGATATAACAATTATCCTATTTTTCCTTTATAGTGTTTCATAGTGTTAGCTTTTGATGAGGAAATCAAAGATAGGTAATACAATTAAGCTGATATCAAAGGTTTTTTTGAGGCTACAATGTTCCAATCATGAATCTTAAATCCTGTAATACTATTTTTTAATTATTCAAATATATAAAATTTGAATGTCTGATTTCAGGAGTGATTTTGAAGGTATAGAGAGTTTTCTTATATTTTGTTTTATGTGTAAGGTCATGTTTTTCCCAATTAGCAAATTGTAGTGACTGTTGTAATACTTAACATATTTATTTAACTTTGAATGTGTCTTAGGTATATTTCTGAGGATCTCCAGAAACATCATTTTCATCATCACGCATTAGTGTGATATTATACTATGTTAATTGTCACGCACATTTTTACTTATGTATTGTTTATTATAAACTATTGACGTCTGAAGCAGAGACTAATTTTATTTAAAGATTTTTATTAAATTCTTAAGATTTTATTAAATTTTGCACTTAAATTTAGATAGAATAAGAAGATTGCATAGCTGGGAAGGTTTCAGATTGTGTCTATGAGTATGGCTCTGTGGTAGAGGGATTACCTGTCATGGAAAAGACCTTTAGTTTGATTCATAGAACCATATAAATATTATGCTAAATAAAAGCTAGTTTAAAAGGACAAGGGACATATTTGGACATTCTACTGCCAGACATGTTGTCACATGATTGTGGTCTTAGCTCCTAAAAAAGCTGAGGTATGAAAATCATAATTTCAAGGTCAGTTTTGGTTAAGATCTCAATGTTTTTTAATCTTTCCTTTCAAATTTATCTTTTTATTTTCTTATTTTTCCAGTAGCTTCATTTATTTCTATAATTACTTACAAATACTCAGTGTATATTTGATGTCTTAACTATTTGCAATTTTTAGCCAATTTTCTTCCATTCTTTGGCTTTACTAGGCTTTGGGAAATTATTCACAATAAAAGAAGAGAATGAAAAAAAAAGAAGATTGCATAATCTCTAGATTATAGCAATTTCATTAGAAAAATAATTTAAAATGCTAATTCATACATATCAGTTATTGTTTCCTACATTTACACTGTATTTCAGATACATAATTATACTAAAATTCCACAGGCAGAATGCAATAGAAAATCAGAGATGCTGTATCTGTGAGATAATTTTGAAATGTGTATCCAATAGTTTTCAGGGCACAAAAGATGCATGTTAATAGATAACTATATTTAACTTCTGTGCTATCAACATCCTTGCAAAAATGGAAATACTCATTTATGAAGGAATAATACTACCAATTAAAGGAAACACTGATATTACATAGTTCATAAATGAGCAGGTCTGAAATTTATAACAGGAGCAAGGGAACCAACAAGTATTTGACATGTGTCCTTAAACTAGCAATATGTGTATCTTAGGCCTTGCCCTGATTTCTGATGTTTAACTCCTACTCTTATATCTCAACATGGTTACTCTTCATTTCTTTCCTTTATACCAAAGCAAGGTAGAAATTTGGGAGAAAGAGTTTGAGGATGAGGCAAAAATTACTGATAAAAGATGATTGTTTCAACACCGACCATTGAGCAGACATATATGTTTCAGTTGAAGACCCTGTTCTATTTATGCACTGTATAGCCTTGAATAATTTCTTTTTAAATTCATTTTTTATTTTATGTTCACTGGTGTTTTGTATGCATGTGTGTCTGTATGAGGGTATCACAATCCCTGGAGCTGGAGTTACAGAAAGGTGTGAGCTGCCATGTGGGTGCTGAGGTTTGAGCAGAGGTTCTCGAAAGAGTAGAAAGTGCTCCTAATCATTGAGCCTTCTAAGACTGAGGTTCTACAAATGAAAAGCATACAGTTAACTTTAACAGTTGTCTGCAAAATTGAACATAGCCATGAATTCACATAGGTCAAGTATGAAGTGTACTGGGTTTATAACAAATACCAAATTCCTAGGTCATTCTAAAATTTTCCACAAATGCTTAGGTCTCAAAATACTCACTGGTGATCTGCATTAGAATTTTCTTCTAATCCTAAGAGTATTTAGGCAGTTTCCTCTGTAGCTACCTTTTGAAATTAGCATACAGTAATCTATGCACAGACCCTTGAATCATTCTTTTTTTTTACAGCTTGCCTTATATAATTATAAACTGCAAGATCTCTTTTAAAGGCCTATTTTCATCATTTTTCTCTGTTATTATTGTGCAGTTCCTTGCTTAGAAGCATCTTTTCATAAACTGTATGAGCTAGAAATTAAAAGGAAGTTGGGAGCTAGAGTATAACCTTAAAATTTTATAGTTTCTAGAAAATTATATTTTCACAACAATCAAAACACTATATAATTATGGTATACTCCCATGTACATTTATGTCTTCCTCTGATGTTACACTTGTAAGTGAATCACATAGTACATAAACAATAAAAAGATGAATCTGAAGTATTATTGAGAGGGAGACTTGCTGAGAAAAAAGGGGCTTGGTGAGACTGGGAGTAGTGGTGAGAGTGGATAATGAAGGGGTAGAAATGGCTAAAATACGTTTTAAACTAGTATGAAATTGAAAACGAATAAAAAAGGATTTTTTAACCACAAGAACATGATCAATATCCAGGGATGAGATATAGCACTCTCAATTCACCTGTTCAGGGTATGTATAATACCCTTCAGAAGTAGCCAGTTTATAAAGAAATATACAAAGTGATACTCAGTGCAATCAACTAGTAGTTTTTTTTTTTTTAAGGCTTCTTCCTGATATAAACTAGTGAAAGTCTCCAACACATCATGATGAATATCCTTATGTCATCTAAAGTTATGAGTATGTGAATTACCCAGAGAGTAAAGTTCAATAAAATTCTTAGCATGACTGGGAGAAAGTATAGTGTATTTTGAATACAGAGATTTGGGACTCCTCTGTTTTTTAATTAATTAATTTTTAATTTAGCCCAAATTTTATTTAATTATGACTATTAACACAAATTCAGAAAAAGTATATATTCAGATATTTAATTTATTTATCTAAAGCATTTTAATGACTACAAAGCTTTAAAAACTTGTTCTTTTTTAAGTTTGATGTCTTTATATTAATTACAATTTATTCACTTTGTATCCCAGCTGTAGTCCCCTACCTCACCCCCTCCCAAACCCACCCTCATTCCCTCTTCTCATCACATGCCCCTCCCAAGTCCACTGATAAGGGAGGTCCTTCTTCTCTTCCTTCTGATCCTATCTTATCAGGTCTCATCAGAACTGGCTCCTTTGTCATGCTCTGTGGCCTGGTAAGGCTGTTCTCCCCCTCAGGATATGGATATAAGAATAAGGAGAAAACATGGAATAGAACAGGAACCTACCACAGAAGGCTCTTGACAGACACTATCTACCCTGCAAGGTATCAAAGTAGATGCTGAGACTCATAGCCAAACTTTGGGCAGAGTGCAGGAAATCTTATGAAAGAAAGAAGGGGAAGCTAGAAAGACCTGGAGGGGACAAAAGCTCCACAAGGAGAACAACAGAATCAAAAATCTGGACACAGGGGTCTTTTCTGAGACTGATACCTCAACCAGGGACTCTTTTGGTTTAATTAATGAGTAGACTTCAGTGTTCTCAGAGAAAAGAAAGCTTCTAAGTCTATTCACTAACTCTTTAGCATTTCTTCAGTTAAGCTTTTTGTTTTGGATATTTAGGTGACTTGCAAGGAATTGTGTTTGTTAAGAAGCTATGTACAATGTTCCTCAGGGACATTCCTTTGTAAACTTAGGTTTCCTTCTCCTTCATTTAATGACTCTGAATGGCTCTGTGAACACAAACAAATTGCTAGCCCCCCACCCCTGTCTTTTGGGCTTCTCTGTTTTCAAATTGAATATAATGAGTACCTTACAGGGTTGCTGTTCTAAAGTTTCCCTGGAAATGATTACCAGGGTAGTAGTCTTGAGGAGTGACAGGTGAGGAGTTCAGAAGCCAGACACAAAATCAAAGTATGTCTATAACTGGCATACTATTACATGAGTCAAGGTTACAGAGAATTATGATTCAAAGTACATGGGAAACTATAGATCTATATTGAGCACACAATGCAGAAGAATATGTGGACTGTGATAATTATTCACTGTTCCCTGGCATCCAAAGATTGACTCAGTGGCACTTCCAGCTTATCTTGGCTAAGCAGAAAAAGCTCTTGTAGTCAGCGGAAACACTCAGACAAATTCCAAGTCATTGGCAATTGAATGAGAATCCAATTTAATACCAGCTTAATAGTTTCTGTCTTAAGATAAGTTAAAGAAAGTACAGATGAAGTGCTTAGTAAAAATCAGACACAACTTATGGCTGAATAACTGATGATGACTGTGTATCACCTAGTCTACACATAACTGTGTATCAACCATTCAATTTCAAGTGAACAAAATATATTAACCAAAAATATTTTAAAGTTAGGTTCACGTTCTCATATGCAAATTTTAGAAGACAACAAGAATTTGTACTTTAGTCAAAGGCAAAGGAACTCAAGAATTGTGCCCTTGTGAATAGGACAAATATTGTCCTTAGGTAATTTTGTGTGTTTGTATGTATTTATTTATTTTTTTGTCCTACTCAGAGCAGTTGAATATATTAAAAATGTTTTCAATTTCTGAGCCAAATAGTATAGCCATGATGATTTTAAACATAGAACAGTTTTAATTTTGGCATAGCTAAATACAGATCTGGCACATAAAAATGTCATGGACTTTTCCACAATAACAGGTTTCAACTTCCTGGAACTGTGCTTCTCAACTGTAATCTATTCTCTTAATCTGTAAAATCAAATTTATGAATGCATGAAGAACAGATTCTCTTTTGAAAATTCCCAATGCATGTGGATTATTGAAGCATGCTTTCCATGATGAATAGGTCCTATATTGAAACTTATAGCTTGGTGTGCTTAACCTGGAGAAACTGCAGAATCCAAAAAAATTAGAAAGAGGCCATTGGTGGTAGTGGCAGGCAGGGAAGAAAAGTTCTTAAGGGGGAAGTATAGTAGAAAACAGGTAATATGAAAATGTAGAGGAATAACTGGTGTGGAAAATGTTAAGCAGGAAGGATAGGAGAGGAGAGAAAAATTTGTTAGAAGAATACCAACTATATTATAAATATCTATCTATCTATCTATCTATCTATCTATCTATCTATCCATCCAGATGTAGTCTGTTATTAAACAAAAATCCAGTGCCATGTGTGAGAAACTTTGAGTTATTGATCAGGGAGATTCCATGACCCCTAAAACAGTGCCATTAGAAGTTCTACAAACTTTCACATAATAAGAACTGGAATATTTGAGAAATATCAGAAGAATCTTATATTTCAACTAACTCATATGTGGATTTAAAAATGAGGTCAGAAGACTTTTAATTGGTACATAGATTCTGGATTCACTAATTGAGAGGTGTGTTTCAGCAATCATACTTTACTTCTTAGTTTTATGTGTTCAATTTTATTAAATGTTTTTATTCTATAATAAAAATACGGAGATCTACAAAATGTAAGAAAAACAACCTACTTGTTAATATGAGATCAATGGAAACATCTTCACGGGTAGGATTTTTGAAATTTATCATGACAGATGCTTTAAGGCCAAGGACTGTGGTTATCCTTTGTACATCTAGAGGCCTGGGAAGCAGTCCTACTCCAAACAGGCGGAATTTCCATTCTTTAAACTATTTTTAAAAAGAAATAACCATAACTGAAAATATAGTTGATTTTCAAGATTTATATAACTTTCCATTGTTCTGTTCAATGTTTTTCATTGTATATGGACTGAGTCAAGCAATGACATTTTCTTGTAAGTATATACTTTGAGAATATTACCCTGTATACTTTGCTACTATGGCCTTTCTTATACCTCATTCCCTTTCATTGTTCTTATTTATCTCCCTAGATAGTTTTGATTTTAATTTCATACCATATGTACATATATGCTTTTATTTAATATAGATTCTAGGAACTACAAATAAGAGAAAACATATAATAATTGCTTTTGAGACAAACTGAGTAGACTCAGTTTTATTATCTATAGTTGCATTTTTATATAATGTAACTTTACTACTTATAGCTTAAAATATGTCTCTCTCTAGCCCTTCTCCTCTTCCTCCCCCCATCCTTCTGTGTGTCATGTTTTGTATCCATCCTTTCCTGTGCTGGCTAGTTTTATGTCAACTTAAAGCAAGCTAGAGTTATTGGAAAAGAGGGAGCCTCAAATGAGATAAGATAAGATCATAAGATCAGGCTATAGACAAACTTGTGGGGGCATCCTCTTATTTCATTATAGATATGGGAGGGCCCAGCCCATTGTGAGTGATGTTACCCTAAACTGGTGGTCTTGGGTTCTATAAGAAAGCAGGATGAGCAAACCATGAGGAGCAAGACAGTAAGCAGTATTGCTGCATGGCCTCTACCTCTTGCCTCCCATATCTCTCCATCTTCCTAACAGGTTTTTCTTCCTATACTGACTGCTTACAATGATGAACAGTAATGAAGAAGTTGTTTTGCTAATGGGGTTTCATCATAGAATGTCTAAACAGATCTGAAAATAAGGAATTCAGACAGCCAAGAAACATTTAAAAGACATGTTCAAAATCCTTTAGCTATCAGAGAAATATAAATCAAACTATTTTGAGACTTCCTCTTACACAGCTCAGAATGGCTAGGATCAGTAACAAATGACTACTCATGTTGGAAAAGATATGGAGAAAAAGAAACACTCATCCATTGTTGTTTGGAATGCAAAGTCATGCACCCACTATAGAAATCAAAGTGGCAGTTCCTCAGAGAGATGAGAAACCATCTACTGTAAGATTCACCAATACTATTTGATTTAAGACCTTTGTGTCATTATTTCTCTATCTAGCTTTTGTCTCGATGATCTGTCCCTTACTGAGAGTGGGGTGTTGATGTCTCCCCCTATTAAGGTGATGGGATTGATATGTGATTTAACCTTTAATAATGTTTCTTTGACAAATGCAGAAGCCCTTGTGTTTTGGGCATAGATGTTCAAGATTGTGATGTCCTCCTGGTAGATTTTTTCCTTTGATGAGAATGAAGTGTCCCTCTTCATCTCTTTTGATTAATTTTGGTTGAAAGTCTATTTTATTAGACACTAGGATGAGTACTCCAGCTTGCTTCTTGTGTCCATTTGCTTGAAAAACCTCTTTCTAGCCCTTTACTCTGAAGTATTGTCTGTCTTTGTTGCAGAGGTATGTTTCTTAAATGAATCTGAATGCTTGATCCTGTTTCCGCAACAATTCTGTTAGTTGGTGTCTTTTCATTGGACAGTTGAGACCATTGATGTTGAAAGATAGTAGTGACCAATGATTGTTAGCTCCTTTTATTGTGGAGCTGGTGGTGATTGTGTCTGCATGCTTGTTTTCTTTTGTTGTTGTTGCTGTTGCTGTTGTCTTGGTGTCTTTATCCTGTGTTTTCTTGGGTTAGCTCATTTTGTTGGGCTGGAGTTTTCATTCTAGTCTCTTCTGTAGGGCTGGGTTGCTGTGTATATATTGTATAAATTTAGTTATGTCATGGAGGATTTTGCTTTTTCCATTAATGTTGATTGAAAGTTTTGCTGAGTATAATAGTCTGGGTTGGCATCTGTGGTCTCTTAGTGTCTGCATGATATTCGTCCAGGCCCTTCTTGTTTCCATAGTCTCTGTTGAGAAATCTGGTGTGATTCTGATAGGACTACCATTATATGTTACTTGGCATTTTTTCTTTGTCTCTTTTAATATTTTTTCATAGAACAACAATCAATAAATAGGACCTCATGAAACTGAAAAGCTTCTGTAAAGCAAAGGACACTGTCAACAGAACAAAATCCCAGCTTACAGACTGGGAAAAGATTTTCATTAACCCTACTTACATCTGACAGAGGACTAATATGCAGAATATATAAAGAACTCAAGAAGTTAAACACCAAACAACCAAGTAATCTAATTAAAAATGGGGTATAGAGTTAAAAAAAAACCTTAAAAAATGCTCAGTGTACTAAGTTATCAGGTATTCAAAAATCAAAAGGATTTCCATCTTATACCCATCAGAATGGCTAAGTTAAAATACTCAAGGGATGCACCATGCAGGAGATGTTGTGGAGAAACATCTCCTCCATTGCTGGTGGGAATGGAAACTTGTACAACCACTTTGAAAACCAATCTGGTGTGTTCTCAAAAAACAGGGAATAGTGCTACCTCAAGGCCCAGCTATACCGCTCCTGAAAGATGCTCATCTCTACAACAAGGACGATTGCCCAATAATGTTTATAGCAGCTTTATTCATAATAGTCAGAATCTGGAAACAACCTAGATGTCCCTTAACCGAAGAATGGATACATAAATTGACATACATTTATACCATGGAAGATTATTCAGCTATTAAAAATAAGAAGATCATGAAATTTGCATGCAAGTGGATGGAACTAGGAAAGATCATCCTGAGTGAGGTATCCCAGAAGCAGACAGACACACATGGTATACTCAATTATAAGTGGATATTAGCCATATAATAAAGGATAAACATGCTAAAATCTACAGACCTAACAAGCTAAATGACAAGGAATATCCTAGGAAAGATTCTTAATTTTCACTCAGAAGGTAAAACAGGGTAGACACTGGAAGTGATAGAAGAGAGGAGACAGAACTGGAGCCTACCACAGGTGTTCTCTAAAAGACTCCAACTAGCAGTGGTTTGAAGTAGATGCAGAGTCATAGCAAAACTTTGGACAGATTGCAGAGAGTCTTATGGAAGAAGGGGAATATAAAAGCACCAGGTGAGGGCAGGAGCCACACTAAGAGACCAACAAAGTCAAGAAATAAAAATAAATAAAGCAGGGCCAAGAGCTAAGTACAGAGATTGATGCATTAATCAAATAACATACATACAGTGGACCTAGACTCCTGCTCATATATAGACCATAGACAGTTCTGTCTTCATGTGGGTTGCCAACTAAGAGGAGAAGAGACATTCTCTGACATGAACTAGGTTACCTGTGTCTTGATCATTTCTCCCTGGTGGGACAACCCAGCCAGTCCACAGAAGAAGAGGATCCAGTCCTGATGAGACCTGATAGGCTAAGGTCACACAGTAGAGGAAGAGGACTTTCCCTATCAGTTGTCAAGGGAACAGTGATTTAGGAGGAAGAAGGAGGGAGGGTGGGACTGGGAGGAGGTGCGGGAGGGTGCTACAATAGGGATGCAAAGTGAATAAACAATAAACAATAATAACAACAACAGTTATAATAATAATAAAAAGATTCACCTATATAACTCTTGGTCATATATTCAAAGAATATATATTTTCATTGTGGCTTTACATGTAATAGCCAGAAATTAAAACAAACAAACAAACAAACAAACAAACAAAAAAAAAAAACCTGAGATGTGCCTCAAAAGTTGAATGGATAAAGAAAATATAGTACATTTACTAAATGAAATATTACTTAGCTGTTAATAAATAAAATCTTCAGCTGGATATGTTGGAGTATGCCTGTAATCCCAGCACTCAATGAGGCAGATGCAAAATCTCTGTGAGTTTGAGGCCAGCCTGGACTACAAAGCAAGTCCAAGATAGTCCAGGCTATACAGACCAGAGAAACTCTGCTTGAAAAAAACAAAATAAATAAATGAATGAATACATAAACAAATAAAAATTGTCAAACTTCTAAGTAGATTTCTGGAAATAAAAAACATCTTTCTGAGTGAGGTAACCCAGACTCCCAAAAGACAAATATGTGTATTTATTCACTTATATGTGGATTTAACTGTTAGGTCAATGATAATTAAGCAGCAATCTATAGATTCTTAGGTTAGATATATAGTAAAGAAATATGGGTGGTGTGATGAAGTTTCTGATTGATCTCAACCAGAAAAGGAAAATAGTATGAATAGATTTTTTTAAAACAAATGGGGGTATTGGAAAAAAGATGTAACATGCAAAGAGGAAGGTAAGAATAGAAATAAAGAAGGAATAGGGGAGAGATGGCTAAAATTACTGAGCATTGGAGGTGTATCCTAATAATGTGGAAGCTTTCTAAATTATATTCATATATAAAGGCCATCTAAATGAAATTGCCAAATAATTGGGGAGACAAAGCCTCAAGAGGCCATTTCTTGTCACCAAATGAAGTTTCCAATAGCAAGACTGGGTTACTTCTATTTGAGTTGTTGGTGAAAATGGTCCCATGGGAATCTCTGAACATCCCTGGCTATTGCTAAAACTATAAGTTGTGCTCCACAAATGATGGCAAGGAAGGTCCCATTGTTAGACAACTCCTATATAACTCATTGAACGTGAAGAAGTTGGGGTTTTGCCTACATAGAGCCTTCAAACTTACATGTTAGTATCTTTGTTACTGTAAGGCGTTCTACAGGGTACTAAAGAGAAATGTAAACACAAACCTATCCACAAACCATTTGATCTACAATGGTGCCTTGCCTGTAACACATACTTCTATTCTAAACCAACCAACAAACAAACAAAACAAAATACTATGACAATAAAATGACTCATACAATTGTGTATAAATAAAATAAATGAGGAGCAGTTAGAAAACCAAAATAACAGATTTGAAAACTGAGAAATAAAATTTAAAATATAGACCAAAGAAAAGTTGACTATATTTTCTGTCGACAATTTTTGCCCTTATTAGTGTTGTGGCAAGTTAACTTTTCTT